ATGCGATTGGGGTGGGGCATTGGAGTACGGGGGGGGGTTGGGATTGGGGTGTGGGATTGGGGTTTGGGGTGGGGGGTTGGGATTGGGGTGAGGTGTCGGATTGGGGTGTGGGGTGGGGGTGTGGGATAAGGGTATGGGACTGGGGCGTGGGATTGGGATGGACTGGAACAGACTGGACTGACTGGGGTAGACTGGGGCAGACTGGGACGGACTGGGGTGGACTGGGATTGGTTGGGGCTGACTGGGATGGACTGGGATTGGACTGGGATGGACTGGGATTGGTCAAAGCTGACTGGGATGGACTGGGACGGACTGGGATTGGACTGGGAAGGATCAGGATTGTTCAGAGCTGACTGGGATGGACTGGGACGGACTGGGATTGGTCAGGGCTGACCAGAATGGACTGGGATTGGACTGGGAAGGATCAGGATTGGTCAGGGCTGACTGGGATGGACTGGGATTGGACTGGGATGGACTGGGATGTATTGGGATTGATTGGGACTGACTGGGATGGACTGGGATTGGTCATAGCTGACTGGGACGGACTGGGACGGACTGGGATTGGCTGGGGCTGACTGGGATGGACTGGGATTGGTCGGGGCTGACTGGGATGGACTGGGATTGGCTGGGACGGACTGGGATTGGTCGGGGCTGGCTGGGACGGACTGGGATTGGTCATGGCTGACTGGGACGGACTGGGACAGACTGGGATTGGTCGGGGCTGACTGGGTTGGACTGGGACGGACTGGGACGGACAGGACCCCGAGGAGCTGCAGGAGGGCCGGGCACGAAGGGCTGCCCTCCATGTTAAGCCCCAGAGGAGCCATTTTGGCCAAGATGGCGGCCCAGAAACGAGGCTCACATCCGCGGCAGAGAGGCCTTCGTCCTCCTCCTCCTCCTCCTCCTCCTCCAGGCCGCGGGTCTCCCTCTCGAAGTATTCCTGCAGCAAAGCCTTCAGCCTCCGGCTCCGCTCCTCCTCCTCCTCCTCCTGAGGCTGCGGGGCGCAGCTCGGGAAGGCAACGCTGTGCCCCACAGCATCACAACCCCATTTAGGGACAATGGGGGGACAGTAGGAAACCCCAAATGGGGGACTGTGGGGACCCCAAATGGAGGACGTTGGGGACCCCAAAATGGGGGACAATGGGGACCCCAAATGGGGGACAATAGGAATCCCAAATGGGGGACAATGGGGACCCCAAATGGAGGATGTTGGGAACCCCAAAATGGGGGATGTTGGGAACCCCAAATGGGGGATGTTGGGAACCCCAAAATGGGGGACATGAGGAGCCCAAAATGGGGGACAATAGGAAACCCCAAATGGGGGACGTTAGGAATCCCAAATGGGGGATATTGGGAACCCCAAAATGGAGGACAATGGGAATCCCAAATGGGTATGTTGGGAAACCCAAAATGGGGGATGTTGGGAATCCCACATGGGGGATATTGGGAACCCCAAAATGGGGGACAATGGGAATCCCAAATGGGGGATGTGAGGAGACCCAAATGGGGGATAATAGGAAACCCCAAATGAAGGACGTTGGGAACCCCAAAATGGGGGATATTGGGAAACCCCAAAATGGCAGACACTGGAACCCCAAAATGGGGGATATTGGGAAACCCAAAATGGGGGACACTGGGAAACCCTAAATGGAGGATGTTGGGAACCCCAAATGGAGGACGTTGGGAACCCCAAAATGGGGGACAATGGGGACCCCAAAAAAGGACATTGGGAACCCCAAAATGGG